TCTCGGATGCAGATCGCTAAGCTTTCAGGAGTGGGGACGGGCGTTAATATTGAGTGAAGCGTGCCAAAGCAACTGTGTAGGTAGTCGGCGGGCAGCCCGCTCCAACCTTGAAAATCACAGGCACTGTGTGTCACAGGGGATAATTCCCAGTTTCTCATCAAGCCGCTGACAGAACTGACTTTTTTCCATTTTTGATCCAATTTAAGTATCATAAAATTAGTCCAGTGACTAATCGGGGAGGACGTCCCTCTAGATCCCGCCCTGACCTGTGTTAGCTCCAGTATCCATAACAAATTTCTGCTGTTAGATATCGAATGCAAGGGTCCGTTTGAATTAACGGAGCACTGCACGGGGCGTTTGCTAGGCATACTGTATACGATTAAGATTCTTGGCAACCAATTCCAGTTACTGCGACTTCTTATATATGGCGCGATAGACGCTATTTAACAGCATATAGGGTTCTTCTTTCCATGCTTATTGCCACGAGCTGCGGCAATGCACGCAAGTAGCCATCATCAATCAAAGTACATACAATATAGCATCGCCAAGTTTGCGCACTCAGATACAGACATCATGACTGGTAGCAACAGCTATTTTGAGGTCAAAAAAAGGCAGTAGGACGGAATATCCGCTTGCCTATATCCCCTCCCAGATATCATTGTACCGAAGCGGCACTTGCGTACGACCCAGCGTGATGGAAAGACATATTTAAAAACTTAAATAAAATAAAAATATGCTCTATTTTGTGCGCTGCCCATCGTACTTCTCGTGTTCTATCAGTCACGTCGCCGATACACAAGCTAGCCTACAACTCTCGATGTCTGCCTGGCCATATGCTTTAAAGGCACAAATTGTGTTTGATTGTTCAGCTGCTTTTCGTCACGAAATTCGAAAGGGATAGATCAATTCAGCCAGCAGGACGGAGCAGTCATAATTACAAACATGACAGCAAGATCTATTGCGTTTGTTACATGCTCCTCACCAGCTTCTTAGTCCATGTGGGTGCAAAACGACCACATGATGCGCGTGCCTATTTTTTTCTAATTTATCAGATTTCTTGTAGCTGGGCAGCGTCACTGTCCCACAGCTAAGATATCGTCGCTATAGTGAATTCCCGCTGAATCCTAACGTAGCAACTGAACGTAGACAAGTAAAAGAACAGTGGCAGTCCAGTGCGTCAGCTCGATATAGATGATGATGCTAATGATGACATCAGTCGCGACACAGCGGCTTGACAGCGAACCTGGACAAGCGACGCAGAGTGACGGTTGTGCCGTCACTCCGCCGTGGACCGCGTCTAACAAGCAGCCGCAACGAAACTCTGATCACAAACGTGGAAAAATCAATAACCCGCGGAAGCAGGGAGAGCAAGGGCGGCTCTGTCACACCACCGACCACCGGCTACGGGCGTGATGTGCTGGCTGTTCGTGCAGTCAATATCTTCGTGCTCAGCGTTACGAAATCGGTTTCCCGTCGCTCTTCGTACCGAAGTCCTCAAATAAATTTTTTTTCACGACGATAAAGTTGACTCGCATCTCGTAAGATCGCTGGCAAGCTGGCATACACATGGATGGGTAGCTATGCCGAAGAATTCACATCTGACTATCTACTACGTATTATCTAACATTTAAAGTACTTCACTGCTACAACGAACGGTTTTACAGTGCCACTATAGACAAAATAATATAAATATGTATTTTTTAAACTCTACCCAATGCCGTACGTCACCAAAGTAATAAAACTTATGTATTATCTCTTCCGTTATAATTACAATACGATATATTTTTATATGCATTCTAACATAACCTGCGGTTATTAAAGCTTGCTCGGCAATACAATTGCCTGTTGATAATATCCTAAATTTATAGCGCATTTCCACATAATTTCTTGTATGATGTCTCACGACAAGAAACAAAGAGAGAAAGAGTGAGTGTGTGTTTTTTTGAGGGATTGAGAAATCGAGAGAGCGAGCGATGACGAGAGCGAACAAGCGAGACATACAGAGAGAAAGAGAGAGAGAGAGAGAGAGAGAGAGAGATGTGAGGAGCGAAGGAGTAAGTGAGCGTGTTTGTGAGAAAGAGAGAGAACATACGTGAGAAGGAGCGTGCGATAGGGGTGCAGTGAGTTGGCATTGAGATCAAGTGAAGGTTGCGAGAGCGAAGTGAGCGAGAGAGAGATAAAGAGAGAGAGAAAGAGAGAGAGAGATAGAGAAAGAAAGAGAGAGAGGGAGAAAGAGTTGGCGAGATGGGTAAGCCTAGAGGGAGAGAAAGAGGTAAGCCTAGAGGGAAGGAGAAAGGGAGAGAGAGAAAGGAGAAGAAGAAGAATGAGGAGGGAGAGTGAGTCAGAGAGAGAGTGCGAATTCTGTGTGTGTCAGTGGTATTCGTGTGTGAAAATAAAAGAGCGAGAGACGATAGAGAGAAGGTGCATGAGAGAGCGGAGAAGAAAGAGAGAGAGAGAGAGATGAGAGAGAGAGAGAGAGAGACGAAGATGAAATAAACAGGAACAAATCCTCTATCGATTTTCTATCGCATTCTCAATATCTAACCCTTGCGATCAGCCCGTGTTCTGCCATCTGAGCTGAGGATACAACGCTACAGCGTGGTGAATGATTGATACAGGAGGGATGGCTGTGCGGGCGAAATGTGTCTCAGCTACGGAAGCAGAAAACAATTAGTACTTATGAATCGAGTAAATGACGGTCCTACTGACAGGGTGAGTGAGATGACGAGAATGTGTGATATTTCAAAAGAAAGCATATAGAGAGCTGTGAGTCAAATCGCAATTGCATTACAAATAATATAAATGAGATTAATCGCATACAACTAATCGTATCACTATCTAAATATTATACAACATCTATCAGGATAAATAAACTCAAATCTTATCTCTTTGAGAATGTTTAGCTGGCCTGACATGTATATATAATATATATCTATATATAATTATATATATACTTTTTGTGTTGTATACTTGAATTGATCTATCTATTATCCTATCTATCTATCTATCTATCGATCTATCTACTGTCTAATCTATCTACTATCTAATCTATATCTATCTATCTATCTATCTATCTATCTATCATCTATCTATGCTATCTAATCTATTCTATCTACTATCTGACTTCTATCTATCATATCCATCTATCTATCTATCTATCTAATCTTCTAACTATTATAATTTACTCTCTTATATATATATAATATAATTATGCTATATATATATACAATATATATATATATATATATATATATATCTACGAACGGAAACTATTTATTTTTAATGAAAAATAGGTATAATGTTTGGCTTACATATTATGCTATTATATAGCATTTTTCATATTAAGGGTTAATGGATATTCATAGGTGAGACAACTTGGCTTATTAACAGACGCCGTATTGCTAGACAATCCGTTTGTTCGCAGGGTTTGGCATGTCAATGATCTACGCACCCTCACAGATAATCGGCGCATTTTACTTTGAAAAGAAACGCTCCCTCGCAACGGGGCTCATACAGGCAGCATTAGCAGTTGGATCGTTAAGCGGTCCTCTACTGTGTGTCCTCCTCATACACATGTACACCTGGCATGGAGCGATGTTCATTCTAGGTGGCATGTATCTACAAACTGTAGCAGCTGCTGCCATGTTTCGGGGAATACCTAGAGCCGCCAAAGAAGAACTAAAGAAGCGCAGAAGAGACACCCGTCTCGGGATGGCAATTGCCGATATGATAAAATTCGGCGCTTACTGCTTGAGTAATCTTGCGTATACAATTGGGGGGTTTACACTGACCACGTACTGCGTTCTACTTGGCATCAGGCGGGGCATGAGTCTCACGCGAGCTGCTCAGATGCTGACCATGCTGCAAATTAGCAATGCCATCAGCCGCTTCCTAGTGGCAGCCGTAGGAGACAGGCGATGGTTCCCACGTCATCTGGTCCTCGGTTTCACACCATTTGTTGGCGGCATCATCAGCCTCATGCTTCTGCGTGCGGAGACGGTGTGGGCGTTTGCACTTTGCTGTGTGCTGTACGGAACTAGCTTTGGCGTACGAGCGAGCGTGCAGACACCTACACTAGTAGACCTATTCGGCATACAGAATCTACCAATGGTTCAGTCCATCTACATACTCTTCGGCGGGATTGGCATTTTGACTGGACCAGTGGCAGCCGGTAAACACATTTAGCTGTAGTGAACGCCATATAACCTATTGATAGGCTAATCTAAGGCTTCAGGATTATGACGAGTGATAGATCTTTGTAATAGACTCTTAATAGATGATAGGATAATCTTATCTCTTAGAAATTTGACTCTTATTGAATTTAGAATTTTAAAATAGACTCTTGGAAATAGGGTAACGTGAACATGGATTCTTCCGCAGGTTTTCTCATGGACCGCTACACTAGCGACCTGAGACCCGTCTTTATCCTTTCTGGAATCTCATGTATTGTGAGTGGAGTCTTGCAGGGTGGCGCCCTCTGCATTAACTACAGACAGAAGCGCGCGAGTGAGGAACCACCAAAGTTAGGACGGAGTGACTGACACACAGGACACAATATTAGAGGAAACACGTTAAGTTAATTAATGTGTTAACTCGCAAACACTGCAAACTCAACTATGTTACGTATAGATGCACGAGGTAAAACATTCTGAATGTAATTTAATATAATTTGTTACTGTGTTAATTCTGAAACCACAATATTATGCGCAGTGTGTGACTATCTGTTACTATAGATGTAATTGTGATTAATATCAATATAGTGCGAACAAAGAATAATCAGTTTTAGCTAATAATATCGTTAGCAAAGAGACTTATTTCAAAATGGTGGTGTTGCATATTTTTAGTTACGCTATATTTTTTGGTAAGATACAAGAAATTAAAAGCAGTAGTCATAGTACTAGTAGCCAATTTATCAATTATAACCTATAATGTAATTATTAATAATTAATAATATTGATAACTGATAATGAACCCAGGTTTCGGTTCCCCGGTAATGCATAATCCTAATCTGTTTGGTATTCAGAACGGTTGCAATGATCGATCATGCCCACGTACGTTTGTCATGACATTCAGTAAAATTAAAGCACCAATATTTTTATCTGGAGAAACTCTATACCTGCTTTCTTTACACGAAGAATACAAAAATAATGGCTTACGGTAAGCAATAAAAGCTGAAAGCGGCGATTTTGCTTGGCTTATTGATTTATTTTACAACAGTTCAACATCGTTAAGATTAACGTACATGTAGATAAATATGGCATTATTGATTAACGAACATACGGGTAAACATTGATTTATAGATTAAGGTACATACAAGCAAACGTATTAGAGATAGTTATACATAGAAGCAAGAGCGTATAAAGAAGCCTTCTTTATACGCTCTTGATAGAAGTGAAGAGCGGCATGGGTCGGTGCTGCCATCTGCTAGCTCGATTAAGAAATGCTCGAGTATATAAGCTTGTGAAGAGATCGAGTAGTTAGATCCATTCTAGCCAGTAACATTAACACTAGTGCTGGCAAATATTGTGGACAGTTTACGACATCTAGTTATTTATAACGTAGCTAATCCCGCATCTCACAAATACGTAGAAATATTCTGCTGTAACAGTACACCGGTATTTTCCCAAGCAAGCTTACGCAATAATAATATATATATATATATATATATATATATATATATATATATAGCATAATGAAGGGAAAATAAGAATTCTCGAAACCTTGCGGATTAAAATCTAACATCCTATTCTACTTTTCTACATTTATTTTCATATATACATGGGTGTTCGTGTGTAAGCAATTGTTCGTAGCAAATTTCTAGGGGGCGGGGGCAAAATTTCACGACTCAACTGTGCATTGATGAGCGACGGGCGCAGCTCTTGATCGACGTCCATAGTGTATAGTGTGGTAGGGGTGGGTCTGAGACAAGACTTTCACGGATATGTGACCACACAAATCAAGTTAGGATTATTTACGATTATTATCTGTTATTATTAAGTTTATTTGTTTATTTTGCTCCAAAATCTAGGAGGCACTCTTCACCCCAACAGACTACGGCCCTGTAACGCATGGCTATATATGTATATATGATGTATATAGAAATATACATACAAACATAATATATAATAGAAAATATCATATTCATCCGTTTTGTGCGCAGTTTAATATTACCAGATATTACCTCACACTGCAGGGTAGCACGCGTTCGCGAAATTTGCACAAATTAAACCACCGCGAAATATACAGCGTATACAGATATCGAGGTGCCAGCTGCAGTAAGGAAACGCACCCTGGATGTTCTGGCGTTGTCAGCATGGTCGCTAGAGATAGCCCCCTCCCTCGTTCCCGTAATAGAGTGGAAGTGAGAGCGCATGCGCAATATCTCACCAGAGGAGTTATATTGTGGTGAAAATGCATTTAATACGGTTAGGGGTAATTCAGCATAGGTTTCAGTAATAAATTCTTATCAGTAGACCTGTGTTTATAATTAGGAGAGCGCCCTAGCCGATGGGGTGCAAAACTACTACTTCATCCCCGCCCACCCTTCCCTTTGTCTTCCTTGTAGCACGTTCAGCCTCCTTCTTCTTCCACCGCCCCTCGGCTGTCTCCCCTGCCACCTTCCCTCAGTCTCCCACCCCTCTCTCCCGCAGTAAACTATATTGCGTATTTATATTTAGGCTGTACTGCACGTCTAAAACTGTGCTCGCGCATGCGCAATATCACCCTAGAAGAATCACATTTCGCCAAAATTATGAATGCAAAATGAAGAAGGATTATCCCAGCATAGACTTCTATTATAATATTCCATCAGTAGACCTCACTTATGAAACAGGAAGCAGACCTTGCATGTAAGGTTTCCGATGCATGAACCAGTTAGTACACAATCTGGCTACGTTACCGTTTTAGCGCATGCGCAATATCTCACCAGAGGAGTTATATTTTGTGCTGAAAATGCATTTAATATCGTCACTGGGTATCTCAGCATAGGTTTCTGTAATAAATTCTTATCCGTAGACCTGTGTTTGTAATTAGAAGAGCGCCCTAGGCAGTAGTGTGGAAAACTACGTCTTTATCTCCGCCCGCCCTTCACTTTGTCTCCCTTGTCGCACGCTCAGCTTCCATCTTTTTCCACCGTCCCTCGGCTGTCTTCCCTGCCACCTTCCCTCTGTCTCCCAGCCTCTCTCCCGCAGCAAACTATATTACGTATCTTTATTTAGGCCGTACTCTACCTTTGGAACGGTGGTCGCGCATGCGCAATATCTCCAAAGAAGATAAATATTTAGCCAAAGATTATGAATGCAAAATGAAGAGGGGTTATCCCAACATAGACTTCTATTATAATATTCCATAAGTAGACCTCACTTATGAAATAGGAAGCAGACCTTACATGTAGTGTCACCGCTGCATAAACCAGTCGGTACACAATCTGGCTACGTTACTGTTTTAGCACATGCGCAATATCTCACCAGAGGAGTTATATTTTGTGGTGAAAATGCATTTAATACGAATAGGGGTATCTCAGCATAGGTTTCTATAATAAATTCTTATGAGTAGACCTGTGTTCATAATTAGGAGAGCGCCCTAGGCAATGGGGTGCAAAACTACTACTTCATCCCCGCCCACCCTTCCCCTTGTCTCCCTTGTAGCACGCTCAACCTTCTTCTTCTTCCACCGCCCTCGGCTGTCTTCCCTGCCACTTTCGCTCAGTCTCCCACCACTCTGTCCCGCAGCAAGCTATATTGCATACTTTTATTTAGGCCGTACTGCACGTCTGAAACTGTGCTCGCGCATGCGCAATATCACCCAAGAAGAATCAAATTTTGCCAAAATTATGAATTTAAAATGAAGAGGGGTTATCCCAGCATAGATTTCTATGATAATATTCCATCAGTAGACCTCACTTATGAAATAGGAAGCAGACCTTGCATGTAAGGTCTCCGCTGCGTAAACCAGTCCGTACACAATCTGGCTACGTTACTGTTTTATCACATGCGCAATATCTCACCAGAAGAGTATTATTTTGTGCTAAAAATGCATTTAATATGATCAAGGGGTATCTCAGCAAAGGTTTCTGTATTAAATTCTTATCATTAGACCTGTGTTTATAATTAGGAGAGCGCCCTAGCCAGTAAGGTGCAAAACTACTACTTCATCTTCGCCCACCCTTTCCGTTGTCTCCCTTGTCGCACGTTCAGCCTCCTTCTTCTTCCACCGCCCCTCGGCTGTCTTCCCTGCCACCTTCCCTCAGTCTTCCACGTCTCTCTCTTGCAGCAAGCTATATTACGTACATTTATTTAGGCCGTACTCCACGTCTGAAACGGTGGTCGCGCATGCGCAATATCTCCCAAAAAGAAGAATATTTAGCCAAAATTATATGTTCAAAATAAAGAGGGGTTATCCCAGCATGGACTTCTATGATAATATTCCATCAGTAGACCTCACTTATGAAATAGGAAGCAGACCTTGCATGTAAGGTCTCCGCTGCATAAACCAGTCAGTACACAATCTGTTACGTTACCGTTTTAGCGCATGCGCAATATCTCACCAGAGGAGTTATATTTTGTGCTAAAAATGTAGTTATATAGTCAGTGGGTATCTCAGCATAGTTTTCTATAATAAATTCTTATCAGTAGACCTGTGTTTATAATTAGGAGAGGGCCCTAGCCAGTAGGGTGCAAAACTACTACTTCATCCCCGCACGCCCTTTGTCTCCCTTGTCGCACGCTCTGCCTCCATATTCTTCCACCGCCCCCCCACCTCGGCTGTCTCCCCTGCCACCTTCCCTTAGCCTCCCACCCCGCGCGCGTGTACACGTACATGTACCGGTTGGTCATTTTGTGTTTGAAATGTGTTCAGACAACTTTGCAGAAATTCGCATCATATAGAGCTGGCAAATGTTTCGAGCGGAGTAGATTAATATAATTAACATATACACGTATATATAAGTAACAATACAGCAGTAAAAAACAGTATAAGGAAGGTAGCAGTGACAACGAGAGGATCGCCTCTATACGGTTGAACTATCAAGAAGTACCCCAGGGGCAGATCTAGCTTTCAGGAGATGGGGGAGGGGGTTAATATTTGAGTGAAGGCGTGCCAAAGGCACCCTGTGCTAGGGTAGTCCGGGGGCATGCCCCGCTCCAACCTGGAAGATACAGGCAGCTGTGTGGTCACAGGGAAAATTCCCAGTTTCTATCAGCCTGCAGACTGACTTTTTTCCATTTTTGGCTCCAATTTACTAGTATCATAAAATTAGTCAGTGACTGAACGGGGAGGACGTCCCCTCTAGATCCGCCCCTGATCACTGTGTTAGCTGCCAGTTAATATGCGAAATTTTCTGCTGTTAGATATTCGAATGCAAGGGTCGTTTGAATTAAGCGTGAGACTGCACGGGGCGTTGCTGGGATACTGTATACGATTTAAGATTCTTGCACCATTTCCAGTGTACCTGCGACTTCTTATTATTGGCGCGATAGACCCTATATACAGCTATAGGTTCTTCTTGCACATGTTATTGCCACGAGCCGGCAATGACGCACAGGCCATCATCAAATAAGAGACTAAATACAGCATGCCAAGTTGCGCATCAGATACAGACATCATGATTGTAGCAAGCAGCTTTTGAGGGTCAACAAAAGCAGTAGGACGGATATGTCGCTCTATTCCCGCTCTCCAGATATCATTGTACGAAGCGCACGTGCGGTAGACCAGCGTGATGGGAAAGACATGTAAACTTAATAAAAAAATATAAAAAAATTAAGCGCGCGTCTAGCTATTATGTGCCGCTGCCCATGTATTCTCGTGTTCTATCAGTCACGCCCATACACACCGTAGCCTACCAATCTCTCCGTGTCTGCCTAGACCAATGCTTTAAACGGCGATTGGTTTTATTTGGTCAGTGCTTTTTCGTCGCTAAATTGAAAGGAGATAGATCATAGCAGCAGGACGGAGCAGTCATAATTACAGAGCAGTGACAGCAAGTTACATTGCGTTAGTTACATCTTTACAGCTCTTTGTCACTGTGGGTGCAAAACGGAGCCACAGATGTCGCGTGTCTATTTTTCTATAAATTTATCAAATTTCTTAGCTGCAGTCACTGTGCCCACAG